TATCAATCTACAAGCTCTTAAAAGATTGAAAGTTGAATGTCAAGTTAACTTTGCTTGAACAAAGAAAAAAAAAAGACAAACATATAGGTGCATTTAACCAAAACCCTAATTGGGTTATAAAGCCTCTTCACAGTTGCAACCCTAGTTTGCTGTCAGATGGTGAATTAAACGTCAATCAACAGTATGATGTCATAAACAGCTCAATCATTGGCCATTGTGGATCGATCTGCCATCCCCTTGACAACGGATAGATACAACACTGAAACCAGCACTAAAGCAGGCTTTCCACGTTACATTTGCCTCACTATGTTAGAAAAAGGAGCCATGCCAAGTGCACAAGACCAAAGATACGCATGAGACTTAAATAAAATATGTATAAAAGCATGAGACTTAAATAACATATCTATAGCAAGAGAAAGCCCAGTAAATGCGCCCGGAGCTTGTGGTCCTTTTGGTAAAGCCATGACCTTCCACATTTTGAGCTGATATGAGTCGCTCTTCTAGGAAAAGCACATCGAGGTTGTGCGCATTATGGGGAGATAATGAGAGGTGGGTTCCTAACGAAACCAGTGCTTGAGAGATCTTCTTTGTCTCATCTCTTTAATTTAGTTGCAGGTTGTGTGAAGATTAATCGCTTTCAAGGCACTAAGTAGTCAGCGAATCTAGTGTGCAATCTAATGGTGTAGTGGGTGCTCCACTTTGGCTATGATAAAGAGATCGTACCGGGCTCTTGCAGTGTGCAGTGTCTGCGATAAGAACTAGCTAATCATGATGTTTTTCGATATATTATCTTTTATTCTAAACGTTAATTGAGTTGGGGATATTGTAATCTCTCATTAGTCCCATATCGGAAGTGGACAATGTGTATGATTGACTTATATGAGTTGATTTCTTTGTATTTATGGTTTGTATGTCTTCAAATGATTAAAATATTTTACACCATCATGTTTTTCTATTATTTTTTCTTGTTTATAATGATAAAAGGGGAATAAGTTATGATCATGCATGGTATGATGTAATTTGACAAATTGATACTATCATGATGTGAAATATTTATGATTGACAAATTGATACTATCATGATGTGAAATATTTATGATTTAGAATGATGCATGCAATACTTATACTTTTTATTATGATAATGTATATGATGTATTGCTGTGAATCATGATTAAAATTGTTTTGATTTGAAATCAAGATTTATCTCAATTATGACATTTTGAAATAAGAATGACACTTTATCTTTGTCATAATTTGCAAATTGATAAAATGCACCATTGTATTGTTTGTTCCCCTCTTTTTGCCAATGACAAAGGGAGAGAAAAAATTTGCTAGTATGCACATCTCTAAAGAGAAAAATTACTAGCTTGCACTTCTCAAAAAAGAAGAAAAAATGATGTTATCTTGTACATTTCAAAAACTTGCTAGTTTGAACATCGTAAAGAAAAGCAAATATGCCAACTTGCACATCTTTAAATTTGCTAGCTTGTATATTGTAAAACTTGCATATCTAAAACTTGATAGCTTACATGTTCTAATATGATATAGCAATTGCTAAATTTGCTAACTTACAAATTACAATGATATAAATGCAATGTTTGACATTATATTTTCAAACATTATATATAGCATGTTTGACATGCTAAAGTTTCACTTCTCCTTTTTGTTGATGACAAAGGGGGAGAAGTATGATCATGTTATGCATGATGACGTGTTGTAAATATTCATGATGAATATTTATAATAACTTGAATTCAGTTTGAATTCAAGGTTCTATCAATATGGCATATTGATATGGGGAGTTTGTTTAAACTCTGGGAGTTAAGGTTAACTCCGTCATCAATTGGTTGTCATCATCAAAAAGTGAGAGATTGTTGAATCTCAGATTTTGATGATGAAACCAATTGATAATATTTATGATTTGATATGCGTTTTGAGTAATGCAGAATGCTTCGATCAGGGAGAGACAATTAAAGCGGGAAGAATCATATTGGGCCGGAGGAAAACATGTTAGAAGGTTGGACGTTAGGCCGGAGAATTGGTCGACGTATGGACAGAAGGCTTCGAGCTATGAGTTCAGGCATCGGGCCAAGAAGAGCATATATTGCCCCAAGGATATTGGAGTTGCGGAGCTCAACTAGCCGATTAGGCAATAGGCCATAAGAGAGGACGATGCGCTGAAAAATCGGACGAAGCGTCGATGAACCAATGACATGCCGGACAACATTTGGTTAGCTTAGTAATAATTGTCTAGATCGAAATGGTTTTTAAGTGTGCAGGATTAACTATGATAGCAAGACATAAAGCAAAATGAAGTCCCGGAGTCAAGAATACGATTTCATTGGGAGTTCGAGAGTTCGTCGGAAGTCCAGATGTTCATCGAAAGTTCTACCGGAATTGATCG